TCAGAAAGAAATGTAACCATTGAATCTCCAGCGTTGACAAAATCCAGTTCATGGCACACTTTCAAAACACTTACACTTAAACTAGTAATCCTCAAGGTAAAAATTATCTGATTTAAGCAAGCCATCAGGAAAAAATATGACTTCCAAGTTGGTAACACATTAAGTCATTAGATGACTTACCGTATAAGAAAATACTTATATTGCTTGAAAACGCCAGGAGTTTTCCGGTCAGATAAATCCTTGGATTTAAAAAAATTGTGTCTTATCTTCTCCCCCCTCAGTTCCACATTGTTTCTCATGTCTTGCCATAATTCTCCAGCAAAGGTTTTGTCTGCATGACCGGATCCATGGGGATCAATTTCATTAGCTGAATTTACACTGTGTGACATATCATATTGAACCGCATTCTGCCTCATGTCAAGAGGTATTGGATATCCGTTATGAAGCATCCATCTAACTGGCAGGTCCTTGTAACTAAGTCCTGAGCTTCCACCAGGTGTTGTCAGGCCCTCCAAAATGTCAATGAAGTAATCTGGAGGATTAATCCGCTCTGGAATGCTGATCCCCAGGCCCAAAAAGTATTCTTCAACTTTCTTTGCAGATCCGTGATAGACAGTAAGACCACCTTTTCCCAGAAGTATCAGGTCATCAAACATCTTGTACAAAGCATAGCTGAAACAGAAGGTTACAGCCGTTAAAAATGAAAGCGACACTAGTGTTATTCAAGTTATGATAATAAATCTGTCTCAATTCAAAGAAAAAATGTACATAAGACGTTACAATATAAAACATCCAAGCTTTTCTACAGAAGTAGTCATAAAATATGCACATCACAATAAATGAGATAAAATTCTTGTACAGTAAATGGTACTGGCAGCTGAAAAAGAAAGAGCACCGATGCAAGCAATATCCCAATGACGCAGATATAGGGTTAAAAATTTACCTGGGTTGGTGAACCACCATGCAAATGTTCACTCCCTCAAGAGCTTCGCGTCTTAGTGCTCTTAGAAGCAGCTGAGAAGATGCACTGTCTAAGCCAGATGTGGGTTCATCCAAGATCAATAGTGAAGGTTCCATAACCATTTCCAATCCAACGTTTACACGCTTCCTTTGGCCTCCAGAGATCCCTCGCTTTTCCACAGTTCCAACCAAGGAATTACGCACTGATTGAAGCCCCAAGAATTCAATAACTCTTTCGACAACCAGAACTTTTTCTGGTTTTGACAAGTCAACAGATAGCCTTTCACAAAAGTTCAATTAAATTAGGCATAAGTATAAGAAGACAAGCAAGGCTAAGACGAGAGAAATCTGATATCATTTTTAGAATATATAGCTATTATAATGTCAAACAATGTAATGTACCTGCACTGTGCACTGAACCAGAGATTCTCTTCCACTGTTAGGTTTCCATGAACTATATCATCTTGTGGCACAAAGCCAGTAATTTTCTTAAAGGAATGGATTGATTCATTCCTTCCATTTATAAGAATTGAACCAGTGACCGAGCATCCTAATGCCTTTCCAGCTAGAGCTGAAAGAAATGTTGTCTTGCCGGCCCCTGATGGACCCATGACAGCTGTGATGCGGCCAGGTTTAATTTTCCCGGTAACATATCTCAATATATGCTTGTTTTGAGCTTTCAATGTAAGAGTCAGATCCTTGAAAGAAATTTCAATTAAAGGCCTTTTCCTTCTTTCAGTGTTTGTAGCCATTTTAATTACCCCCGAGAAGGTAAGCTTCTTGTTTTCTTTTTGCTGAGCTTTCTCTTTTTCAAGCTGAGAATATGCATACTTAAAAATTTGGCTATGAGTATGTGGTTGTTTTCCCTTTGACACATTTGCTGTGACACTTTTACCTCTAGTTTCTATTTCTGTATCAGGATCATTTTCAATATCATCAATATCAGGATCATTTTCAATTTCGTGTATCATCTGCATCAGACCACTGGGTTCTTTTCCCTTTTTATTTGTTGCCACAGATGAACTTGCAACCATGCTTGAAGTTTTAGGTCGTGGATGTGATAACAATTCAACGTCTGCTTCAGAATTTGCTTGTTTCAGAATTTTAAATTTTTCCAGATTTGCTGCATCCTTCTTGAAGGTGCGAGATAGTTGAGCTTGCAGCCCCATTGCACCCTTCATTGTTGCATCTTTTGCAAATTGCCATCTTTGGCGCGCATTTGCAGTCTTTCTTGCACTTCTAGCTGCTGCTTCTCTAGATTTGGCCACTCTTCTTTCCCTAGTAGTGAGAACTTGGTCAGAACAATTGTAAATAATGAGTAGCAAAGTACTCAAAGCAGCCTGCATAAGTAGTTAAAGAGTGTTAACTTCCACGTGGTCTCTGTGTGTGCACATGTTTGTCTATTTAAGTTTCTCAACATGACATTGTTCTAAGAAATTGACCATGATTCATAAGTGAATATATATTATCCCAATACATACTTTAGTCACAAATGTTGGTACTTTTTTCACCTTTGATAATCAATTAAAAGGATAACCCAATGAACTAAATACGACTTCGGCTATTCAGTGATGTAGATCAAAGGAAAGGAAGAAATCTATGGAGAGAGAATGAACTAAATATGACTTCGGCTATTCAGTGATGTAGATCAAAGGAAAGGAAGAAATCTATGGAGAGAGACTGAAAGATGGATACAAAGAGAACAGGTAAAAAGTAGACTAATGACTGGGGAAATTGAAGTCAAGGAAAATTTTCAGTTCTCAATTCAAATGTTTAGTTCTCTACAAATCAAAGTACTAAGCCATCCTCCAGTTAAATTTGGAAAAAAAATTCTAAATTTCTTAAAGTGCTAATAACTCCCAATTTATTAAAGTACTCTAATATTAAAACTAAAATTACAAAATTCCCATAACAATTAAATTCCAACCAATTCAACTATATCTCATTTTTGTGTAGTTCTCTAAAAATCAAAGTACAAAACCATCCTCCGATTAAATGTGGAAAAACAAAATGCTAAGTTGCTTAAAGTGCTAATAACTCCAAACTTATTAAAGTACACTAATATTAAAACCAAAATTATTAAATTCCCATAACAATTAAATTCCAACCAATGCAACTACATATCATTGTTTTAATTCCATATGTTCAGAAATAACTTACAATGAGCATAATTCCATATGCACGCATATTTTGGGTTGCTGTGTTTGAATTACATGAACTCAACTTGAAGCATCCTACAAGATAATCAGTAAATGGTCATATGTACTCTGCATATATACAGTCAAAAATTGATCAGTAAAAATGAAACTTGAATAATGCTGCAAGAATTCACAATTCACAATATCTTACTTTTCTCGGATGTGGAACCCATCCTGCAGTAATGTCTGAAATTTCAAGGGAAAATGTTAACGAACTTCCCAACAACGAAACAGTCTAACAAGTATACTAAAAATTAACTAAATTGGTCATGTCTTGGCAAGATAAGCAAAAGCTTAATGTATTCCATTGCAACGGTGCGGGATCACTATTAAAAAGTTTTAACCACTTCATTTTACTTTTGGAATAGTTATAAATCCTCTTAATAATATTTCCAATTATCAAATGAAAACAGCATTGAATGTTTTCCTTGCTGAGATGTAACATGCATCTTTTTTCGTTTAATACATTATTTATTAAATATGAGAAGAATGTTTCAAGAGGATATGTTAAAACTGTTACTTCTAAAACCCAAATTTGATAGCGTATAGTAATAAAGTTTTGGAGCAAAATAATACCCACTACTGCAAGAAATTCTTTTTGTGGTGGTTGGACAATACGATCCAGCTGAGCAAAATATGTCACTACTGCTACTAACGTCAGCCCAAACATTTGCTCCACCACAGGTATGATTTGGCTGCATTGGAGGCAGCTGATAAAGATATCTGTAGAAATATATTTGTTAATTAATTTCATAACAGCGGGAAAGCAGCAAATCAAGGAAAAATATCAAATCTTTGATCCAGAATTAGAACTCACGGTTCACATACGCCAGTTGTTTTATTGAGTTTAGCAAGAGGGCAATATGAACCTAGAGGGCATGCTTCAAGAACAATGTTGTAAATGCCAAAAAAGACAGAATAGAAGCATCAGAGACAGATTTTAAGATATATACATCGACAATAGCTAGTTTTATTATAATTGATATCAATATGCTATAATAATATTGGCTTTTCATTGCAGAAATTACGAATGAATCACACTCACCAGTACAAGATACATTTCCAAAGATATGAATTACTCTGCACAAATGTAAATCTTGAATATCTATTTAAAATTCTTTGTTGAATCTTTAAAGTTAAAAAGTTCCAAACAGTGTGAAGAAGCTTGAAAGTTGAATTAAAAGTTGCTAAAGAAGCTATTTGCAGTCATCTTGGTAAAAATATAATTTAAAGATTTTAAGTCAGTGTACTTACGTATCATGCATGTGATACCATGAGGACAAAAGAAGCCTTCACAACATGGTTGACAGTTTGAAGTTCTTGCAGGTATCTCCTTGGAATTTTTAAGATCAACCTTCTGGCTTGAGAGATTACTACAGGCCCATCCTGGCTCACAACCAGAGACCCACGAGGTTAAATTGCAGTTCTTGTTAGGCTTTAAATAATTGGCACTTACAGATTTCCCCAATAAACTATCCAAGAAAAACTTCACTTCTGCCGCTGTACACAAACGTTTTGCAATATCTCCTGTTACATCATCAGAGTCCAAAACATAAGAGTGGTCTTATGAGACAAATAATGTTGTAATTAGAGGAAATATCTAATATCTATAGAATCTTCATAATTAGAGAAAACATGTGTATGATCTTCTAGATTATTTTGTTTCCTTATTTCCCTTTCTAGAAGATTAGATTGCTGCAAAGGTAAGAAGAATGTAATTACCATGAATGAAAATAATAAAATTATTCTCTTTTTCAATTAATAGATTTCTTGTATTGAAAGAAAATTAAAATGATGTTCCTTCCCTCATACAGTCACCTCAGTCGTAGCAAGAAACACTTTCTTTTTTTTTCCCAGTCCCCACTTTTACTTTTACAGGATGAAAGGAAAAACAGTGGGTCAATTTGTAGAATACAAACAACACACAATTATAAAAGATGGCTAGTAGAAAAAAAAAATGAGGGACCTTCTGTTAACAGTGAACAACATAGTCAAAGCATAATTCATGAACTCCATGTTTGTCTATAAAGAATTCAAAGAAGAGAAATTGTGACTGTAAAAGGTATTGTTATGTTGATGGTGATTATAGACTTACAACACTCAAGTATATATACAACCTGATAGCTTGACTCAGTTTTAACATACTATTTAATAAAGTGAATCTGATACCGAAAAATCTTAATTATACAATCAATCTTGTACTAACTATTTATCCCTCTCAAAATTACATCCATGAGTTATAACCCATATATATCTATAATTTTCATCCTCACAAACCAATAAACAGTTTTACAAATTTCTGTTTCCCTGGATTCATGAACTTGCTGAATCATGAACAAGTTGATTGGCTGGTGAGAAACAGAATAAGGTAACTGTAAGAATTGATAGAGAGAAAAAAAAAGGTATGTTTCTAACCTCTAGTCTTCTTAATGCAAGATGCCAAGAAGTCCAAATCAGTTGAAAAATTAAATGCTTGATTCCAATCAGCATCCCTGAAAATATAAAATCCCGTCTCACAATCAAATTTAAATGTACCGATTCAACTTCTTTTCTTTGAAATTTTACATGGAACTAAATCTGGGAGCTACAGCCCATAGACATTCATTATTGATGTCGCCAACTAAATTCCTCTCTCTCTCTTTACCTTTTCAGCCGGCTTTTTGAAAAAAAAAATGTAAGGAATTAAAGAGAATAACTTCTCATGATTAGCTTCAACATCTTCAACATCAACTGCATTTCTCACTAACATGCCCATCACATCAAATAAACACAATGAAACGATTGCTCTAGCAAACCAACTCATTCTATTATAAAAAAAAAAAAAAACACTGATTCAAACCATCACAACAATGCCAGCAATCACTATGCAAACACAGACTGATCTATCCGTTCATCTGGTAATAAAACTGTGTATTGTCTATCCATCCCACGCCAGCACACCATGTTGCAAAAGTAATCACATAGATGGGAAAAAATGCTTTAGTATAATAAAAAATTATTAAAAGCGAGAAACTCACGGATCTTTGACACAGAAAGTGGACTCCCTGCTAATTTCCTGGCTGATGATTGATGTCAAATTGGAGATTTGACTGTACACAAGCTGAGTGACGAGGGGAAGAACGGCAGGGCTATCAATTTGGTCATAGTCATTCATTTGTTGGCACTGCAACTGCGTCATCCAGAGGAACAAGCTGAAAAGCACAATGGGCACCCACAAATGCTTTGAATTGGTGCTCCACCTACACATTTTGGAGTGACCACAAAGGTTGAAAATGAATAGAACAGATGCTTTTGGCACTCTACAGCAAAAGGGTTTTGAGCTTCTACTTCAAGGAATGCCATGCCATGATGGGAACATAGCAATCTAAAAGAGAGATTTAGAAAGAAGTGATATTGTAATGGTGGGTCCCGCCAAAGGGACAGTCGTGACACCACGTTCGAACGAGGACATGTATAAATCTGTTTAATACATTAAGAAGACAAGTATTATAGTGTACAAAAAAGAAAGATATTCCGCTAATTTTGCCTCCATTTTTGGTTAAAATGTCAGATTTTCAAACTAGAAGGAATCTACTCTTACGGGATCTCAATGTCTACTTATAAGGACCCAGTAAGACTAAACATGTTTAAAATCAAATAAGTTAATTATATAAAGAAAACCATAGGAAAGTCATATTTACAGAACTTATATTAAAATAATATTATTTTTATTAATGCACACTAAAGATATTCTCGTTTCACTTGATTGAAATTTAGCCACCTCATCATTCTTAAACAGCACATATCATAATTTTACAAACTTTCCTTCAAAAATAATTTATGATGAATGTCTCCCATTAGTACTAAATGAATTTTAACACATTTTATGGCTTTTCTTTATCCCCAGGAAAACTTTTGTTATCCCCAATAATTTACATTCTACAGCTATCATTTTATGCCATGGCGCTGGATTGATTTTAACATACATGATTATACTGCTTAGTTTTAGAAAACCTCATTATAAGGAGTTGTCTCTTTTATCTTCCTTGGACGAGGTGTATGGCTCATTGGGAGAGCTCAACTCCAGGAGTTTCTTACCAGGTGAGCACATAAGCTAGTTGAGTGAGCAAAATCTCTGGTTAAGTCAAACCATATATTTCAAGAATTTTAAAAATGTGTTTTATTTATATTTTTGAAGATATAAATATATTTGAATGAATGTTTGATAAAAAATCTTGTTATAAATACTTTTAAAGGCTAAATGACTATATCATCCACTTTTCACTATTTTGAATATATTTTATTGAAATATTATAATTGAATGTTATATTAATATAATGGAAAATAAATGATGAATTATTAACAATTAAATTGAAATTAAAAATATACCATTGATGTTATGTTATGAGTTTGGATTGAGATAAGATAAAATACGTGATAAGTAGGGCTCTCAAAATGAGTTGTAATTCGCGAGCCAACTCAGTTCACCATGGATTTGAAAAAAATGTAATCGCGGGCTAGTTTTTAACTCGGTTTACTTAGAATCCGGCTCATCAACCCACCTAATTTAATTAAATTATTTATTATTTTGTGTTTCAATATCATTAGTTAACATTTATTTATTATATTGTAAATAGTGATAAAGAAGAAAATGTTTCAAGAGAGAAAAATATTATAGATTTATCTATTCAAGAGTCTAATATTATAAATGGATAAGTGATATAAAAATTATCAATATTAAAAACTTATTTGTTTGCCTTTTGTACATGTTTTTGGATTATACTTAGATTGTATGATACTTTTTTTATTTTATTTTAAATTGTATTTGGAGTTTAACATCATTTTAGTGTGAAATTTATTTAAATTTGAATTAAAAAAATTGTAATTTTTTTATTTTAAGAAAAACTTATAATTAAATGAGTAAAGCCAACCCATTAGACCTACCAATCCGTGGTGGGTCGGGTCGGGTTTAAATTTTTTCAGCTTGTTAATAAGTGAGCTGGGTTGACTTACTAAGTGACCAATCCGTGGTGGACCGGACCGAGTTGAGCCGGGTTACCCATTTTGATAGGTGTGGATTTTGTCAATATTTTTACTTATAAATCATCGTATGAAGTGACTAGTATATTGATGTGATTTTAAGTGGTATATTTAATTTATATTTTTTAGACTTATTTCCAATATATTATTTTTAAAATATTTTAATAATTTTTAAAAAGTTTTAAAAGTATTTAAATAATATTTTAATTTTATGATTCAATATTTTATTCAAAATTTAGAATATTAAATTTTGTTATATAGATAATTCCGTTTTAAATATCCTATAGTTTTTGTTAGAAGTGGACTTTAAGCCTAATTCAACCCCACAAAATCGGCACACCCCAACAGATATCGCTAGGATAGGCTCTAACCATGACTCTGATACCATGTTAGAAGTGGACTTTAAGCCTAACTCAACCCCACAAAACCGGCTTGTAAGGTGAGGTTTGGACCCACTTATAAACTATGAAATGACCTTATCTCTAGTCGAGACTTCCAACAATTTTATTATAAATAAATTATTATAACAAAATCATCTAATTTTAATTCATGCTATATTTAATAATTACTTCTACTTCTACCATTATTTGTTAATGTCAAACGAATAATTATTTTTAGTGAAATCCATACATGATGATCTTCGAATTGAATATAAAATTAGAATTTGTTTTTATATGAAACTTTAATATATTTTAGTTTTAAAACTTTAAAAATAATGAATATAATTATATTATTTTACGTTAATTTTTTTTTACGTATTAAGACTTTTTTCCATTCAAATAAAAAGATATAAAATAAATTTCATACATTAAACAAATTTAACATAATTAAATTAAAAAAAATTATACCTTTTATTTTTAAAATTTAGAAACCACAATATATTAAATTTTATTCATTTCAATTTTACCCTATTTATAACCATATCACATTAATTATAACTATAATGGTTAATGTGGTTTGTTACAATCAGTTTGTATGATGGTTTAATTTCCGGAATGTAAAATTAATAATTGTTCGAGCTTATCCTATAATAGGTATAAACTAACAAATCCTCACAGACCAATAAAAAATTGACGACTCATTTGTATAGTAAAACTAAATTTTAATTAAATTGGTTTGAAGATGATGAACTGATCAAAAGTTTAAAAAATATCAAAACTGATCTATACTAAGTCAATAAAAATATTTTTAAAATATTTGATGGTAAAAAAATCGAGTAAATTATTAATACAATTTTATTTGTTCTCTAAAAATAGAAAATTTACAGTATTTATATGTTTTTAAGAAACTAATGGTTAGATAATATTATCTGGTTGTTGAAGCTTAAACTTTATGATTATAAATTTTGTATATACTTTAATGTTTTAAACTTATAAATTTTATTTTTCTAATTACAATATTACTGAATTATATTTTTATGTTTCTTTAAAACTATTCAGTTATTATCATCACATGATAACGATTTAACCGTCATAATTTTTAAATCAGTTTGTTAACCTATTCAATGTACTCTTTCTAAGTAAAGATGATGAATAACCAAATAATCATTTTCTAAACAATTGGAAATATTTTTAATGTAGAAATCATATTCAACTCGTAAGTTTGAAGACCTAAATTTTAATGAAATTTTCATCAAACTAAGTTTACGTGGAATGAAAAATCTAAAATTTAAGATAATTTTAAATAAAACTCTGAATCTTGAAACTAAAAAATTGATCTTAAATTTTAACAAAATACAGTACATTAATTTATAAGTTATTGGAAGTATAAATGTAAACAAATGAAAAAAAAATACTTTCATAAATTCATAGTAAAATTGAATTATTTTTAAATAATAAATAAAACCTGCTTAAATTAATACAATTAGTCATGATAACACCTTTATACAAAGAGCTGCTAAATAATCCAAAAGTCAGTGTGAAAAAAGATAAGATATGATGTCACCAACAGTCACAAACAGCAAATGATGGAATTTCAAGAAAAGACAGCATGCTTATGAATAGCGGCGCCGGTTATTCCCATATTGGCCCAAGCTGTTATTAATTAATTCCCATATTGGCCCAATACTTATATATTATTATATTATCGATAGATTATAATAAAAATATCCATAACAATATTTCCTTTTTTTTATTATTTTTTTAATATATTTCTATTTTATGTATATTTCACTTTCTACCTATATTAACGTTTTTTTTATAATATAATCTCAAACAACCTATTTTAACCCACAATATATATTTTTTTTATTTTGTAAATTGAATTTTATGTTTTATTTTTTTATCACCAATAATAAATATCTTTATATTAGTTGAGATTTTTGTGAAACATATTATATTTGATATATTTAAAATATTTTATTTATCCAAAATGATTTCTTGTGGTAAAATTTAATCTTATAATAAATTTTATCGTGCTTGTTTATTAATTTTGAAAGTAAAAACTACTGATATTATTTAAATTAAGTTAATATAATTATACTATAAATAGAAAACTACTTATGAGGTTGCAGGGTTAAGGTAACAAGTTTTTGTTGCTTGGTTACTCTGATATTCTGCATTTTATTGTCCTGTTTTCTTCAGCATTCAACAAACCTTTCACGCTCTCCATCTCCATTCCCATCCCCTTTTTTCAATACCTATTCCCTGTCAGTTCTTTGTTTTCTTTTTTGCAAGGTTTGTCTCTATTTTTTCTGTTCTCTCTTCCTCGCGATTTTATTTTTAAGTGTTTTTCTCTTTTCCCCCTCTTTTTGGGTGATCGGGTATTTTTTTAATCTGGATAAGGTATTAGGGTTTTTCTTTAATGATTCTAGGTTTTCGCTTTGGAATTCTGATGCATTGGGAGTGCAAATCAAGGGTTCTCTTTTTCTTTTGCATGCTAAATTTTCATCTTTTAGCATCTTTCTTGACGTTAAACTAGCCTTCTAGTGGGCGTAATGGTGGATGATATCCCAATTTTCCTCTCTTGTGGCTTTTTGGATTAGATTGAGCATTTTCTGGAGTAGGTGGAAACTGGTTTGGTGTGATGCTTCTGATCTAAGTTTTTTTATGGCGGATTTGATGAATGATAATACATTTGTACTTTTCATTATGAATTGTGTTTTAATAGTCAGACAAAAAGAATATCATCTAATCATATTATTCTTTTTAGCCCTTGCGTAAAATTGGTTGTATTTATTTCACTATGATATGCATCACACGTATTAAAGCGGGGGGTCATCCTACACATTTTTACTATCAACCTTTATATATTTTCAGCAATTGAACTCTTCAGAGGCATACAGGTAAAGCAAGTTACTTTCTGGAGTAGTTAGAGTTACATGTGTTTTGTGGGCAGATGGCGACACATGACATGGATCCTGATGTTGTTCGCTGGGGTCTTCACCTTCTAGATGTTTGCACGCTTTCCCATCATGGTTCGCCTAGTATTCTTACCCAGTATGATCCTGATTTTAGTCGAGTTGAATATGTCAGAGAAGGATTCTGTCAGCATGAGTATGTGGAGAATGACGAGGCTGTTGCACGAGCTTATCAAGAAGAATTATCACAACTTGACTCCATGGGAGCTTCTGGGACACCCAGTTATCAGAATGAGGGAATGCAAGGATCTGTCTATACACAAGATTGGCCTCATTCTTCAAATGGAAACTATAATTACGGTAGAAAGTTGCTTTCTGAATTAGTTTTTTGTTTTTTTAGTTGTGTTTTGTTTTATTTTTTATGTAATACATTTTCTAAACCTGTCGAGATAAATTTGTCACTATTTAGGAAACGAGTCTTGTCAGAACTCTGTAGATGAGTCATCGTACAATATGAAAGATGTGGAGAATTATGGTCCAAGTGAAAGGGGAAATGATATGCATGACATTCATGTTTTTGGTTCCTCTGGGTCAGGAGAGGTAGCTGTTGCTAGAGATGATGTCTGGGATTCATTGGAAATATCAGACGAATCTTCTCTTGATGGCGAAGTTGGCAAAAGATTATACCAGATGGTTCCCATCCCCGTAAGTGTAGCTCTAGTCCATCCACTTAATTTTGTTTTATGGTCATGATGTATATCTTCTACTATTTGTTGATATAAATGTTGGAACAGATTGATACTAATTAATGCTCAGATCATGAGAAACAAAATTCAATGTATAACAATTATGTGTCACCCTTTACACTGTAATATTAAACGTGACGCTGAAGCTTCATAATTATAATTTAGACACACCAGAACAGAATAATCAATTATGAGCAATAAGGGTACAATTGTGGGGTGGCAGAAGTGGCACTCATCATGGAGTGCCTGGCTGTTGCTGCCCTCACGACACAATTCACAAAAAATCACTGCAATTTGTGGGCTATGCCACCGCACCTTTTTTTGCACTGTCCCTGGACAGTCTACGTGATCGGCTTCTGCTGAGCAACCTTTGTTCTGCATCTGTTGTACAACTTCTAGTGTGACAAAAATGGTTGGGGTGAAGTTGTGGGTTGATGGAAGAAAGAGGCTAAGTTCTTTTTCTTGCGTGAGGATGTGACAACTAATGGGAGAAAATAGAAAGAGGCTTTTTTTTTTGTTTATTGGGTGAGAAAGGGTGTTGGGTCTAATCCTCATATTGGCCCACTCTCCACCTCAAGCAGTCCGTCAATCTGAGACTGATTTTCTTGCTGTTTTATTTATTTATTATTAATCATATACTGTACTATTATATTTTATAATACTCTAAGGTACTCTAAAATTTAAAATGAACGTGAATACATAATTTTAATATGTATATTATGATAGAAACAAATATTTATACTGAGTTGAATATAATGAAAATTATATATGAGATTAATTCCTTTGTATTGAATGTACTCTTAGGATCTTTTATTTATAATAAAATAAATATGGGCTAAGCCTAATAGAAAAAAATATGTAGCATATATGTACATAGTCTATAAATGTAGAATTACTATAATCATAAGAGTTTCTATAGTTTATAAAAGTGGCTGCTATATCTGTGCTGTTATCTGCTTTTGACGGCTATGTACAAGACTAAAGTGTGATACGTTATCAATATTACTGTCTAGATATAGATTTCTGCTTTAAATAACACTTTATGCGCTTACTTCCCTTGCTCATGTTTGCAGCATATTCCTAAAACCAATGAAAAAATACCATCTGATGACGAAGAGACATCAGATCATCAAAGGCTTCTAGACAGGTCTTCATTTTATGTTTTTATATCTGTTGGCTTGAGTAGTTTTCCATATAGAAGTGTAATTCTGTACAATTATTAGAAGAGAACTCCCTAGCACCAACACACATGCATTACAAAAAACTGTCTTAGTCCGCCCTGTGTATCTTTAATGAGATGTGAGGATAATTGATCCCCAAGAGTTGAAAATAAAAAGTAACAGGGAAACAGAAAACTGGTATTACAGAAATGTTGACCAGTTGCTTTGTGTAATAGAGATGTTTCCTCTTTTAAAATATCAAGCATTCCGAGTGGAGGGACAAAAGTATTACTCATAAAAAAAGGTCCAAGTATACCTTATCAACTGTAGTTTTGATGCTTTCTCTAGAAAAGAGAAGAGGAATCAACCATTAAATCACCCCATGTGTTTTGTCATGAAGCTTCTGAATAATGTTGTGCTTTCATGATTTAGTTTCTACAGAAACAAAATTTTCTTGGCCTAAACATTTTCCCATTTCAAGAAGGTCTGAAATGTAAAACTCAACCAACATGATTTCTTATCAGATCTCCCACATGTGCCTGTGGGGAAGACCTCCGTAATATTCTTTATCCTTTAGTCCAAATCCATCGGAATAAGAAAGAGTTTGAGGGGAATATTGGACAAGTGAGGTCCAATTAGTCAAATAGAAGAAAAATTGTTCTATCTACCTCTTTCTCCTTTTTATTTCTCCTTCACTTTGCATTTAAATTTGAGCAAAACGTATGCCTTATCTTTGTCTTTTTGTTATTGAGCATTTATCTAAATTTAAGAATTTGGTCTTAGATTGCAGTTATATGATCTGATTGAGAATAAGGTTCAAGGAGATGGTAACTGCCAGGTTGGTTCTTTATCCTTATTATTGGTATGTAGTTCAATTGCTGCATTTGAAAATGTATCTCTTCCTGCTATAGAATTTGTAAGTTTATTATGAGAAAAGCGTATTTAGACTTTGGTGCTGTATCTTGTGAAAATAGGGTTTGGCACCTCCCAAACTATGCACCCTACTTATGCCTTTTCATTGCATGGTAGTTATGGAAAAGCCTGAACCTGCCTACTCCTATGATTCCTTCGAAAGCTTCTAACATCTATGTATACCAATAGCCTTATCACAATCTTTAAGAAGTAATAGGCAATCCAGAATTTGATGGAATCCAGTGAAAATGTGTCAAGATTTGGAGGGGTTGTTGGATAAAAACATTGATGGGAATCACACTTGATAATAATGGCAGCAACTCATTCTGGAAAAATATTGGCTTAACTTTTTTGTTATGTAAGTAGACATGGGAGTATTTCCAAATTCCACCACCTCTATTTAAAATTTAAGTAATAACCTAAGTTACCAGTGACAAAATTAACTTGATGTATAGTTTGTGGTGCATTTACTAGTGGCTTGAATTAAAAGTGTTTTAGTTTCTTTAGATTTTAAATTGGTCCATGATTATTTTAAAGTTCTGTACATTATTCATAAATAGGATTAGAAATAGACTAATTTCTATACTGGTGGATCGCATGGTTAGTTGATTGTGTAAAACTTTTTCCATACTGAAGTTAATCAGTATTAAATCCTTTTTCCATTGTTATTATGTAGGTTATCACTCATTTGTTTCATCATTTGTGTTGATTTTGTCTGTCACTGCCATTTAACAATTTTGTTATTTTGGTAGTGGAGTATTTGTTGGAATTTTTACAGTTATATAACCTAACATTTTGAATTTTCTAAATATAATTTTTATGAGCATTACTACATGTCAGTGAATCATTAAATTTCATTCTCATTAGTCATAACACTCTTTCAATGGAAAATGCACCTTATTGGAGTCATAT